ACCCCTGATCTGAAGTCGACAATAAAAGCCCTTCTCCTCTCATCCCCATGTCCCAGCCTCTCTGCTCTGAAATGCAGCACGGGGGGTTGTGGGGGGTCATGGGGTGGGGTGTGCAACCCCAGAAATTGCTGCTCTCATCACAGTTTTGTGGCCTGCCCTGGCAGTGCATTCAGTGTGGCAGTGCTTCCCTCTCTGCACAACACATCATGTTTATCCCTCTACACCCCAAAAAACACCCTAAAAGTAAGTCCCAGAGGTTCCCCTTCCCCAGGTGCATCCCCTGGGTTCCCCGATACATGTTGGCACCCATGGGTTCCCCCGACAGCTTCATTTCCTTGGTGTTGGGGTCAGAAACAGCCAGGACATTTCCATGGCCTGGGCCAGAAACAGTCAGGGAGCACACAGGGCCCTGTCCATTGCGTTGCGTGTCCACAAACAGCCCCTTGCAAGCCGTGTCCCCAAGCCAGAGCATTTTACCCCCTCTCCAGTTTGGGGGTGAGAGGAGCCCCAGAGAAAGGTGACTCTCAGCATCCCTGTCTGCAGCTCCTGGCCCAGCATTGAGGGTCTAGGGCTATTTGGGGAGGGAAGGGTTAATCTTGGAGGGAGGGAAGAGGTGGGGGGGATGAGTGGCAATTAGCACCCCATGTCTCCCAGCTGCCCTAATGAAGGAGATTTAGGCAAGAGGGAGAAAAGCTGCCTTCTTGCTAAGAAGGAGCCCCTATCCAGCTCCAGGATGGCTCAGCCCTGGGGCAGCATCGCAGGTGGGTGTCCCCTGCTGGTGTGGGGATCTGGTAAACCTGGGCAAAGGGTGCTGTGGTCCCCTCCTCTCCATGGGGAATATCTTCAAGGGTGTCTGCTGCCTTGTGGCTGAGCTCAGCCTGGCTGAGCCTTGCCCCATGGGCTGGTGTTGCTGTCAGGGCATGCCCCAAAAATTCAGCGGTTATGTTGCCCTGCAGAGAAGGTGAGTGGTGCTGCTCTTTGCCTGTGGCTGTGCCAGTGTTGCTGCAGCTCTCCCAGAAAGGGCAATGTATTCTCTGAACCTGACATCCCCCAGCCTTGCTGGGCACCAGCTTGCTTTTGGACAGAGCCTGGGTGCTTTTTTTTTTTTTTTTCTTTTTCCTCTTCCAACCAAGGTGTGTTCCTGCAATCTAATTCCTAACGTGCAAAGCGGAGGCCCTGCAAGGCATGGGCTACTGTGATGCCTGGAATTTGCTTTGGCCCTGCCCCAAGACCTGGCTCTTATATTGGCAATAAATCGGTGATTTCTCCTAAGGGTGGGCTGTAACCCCTGTAAATGGGTTGGGTAGAGGCCAGCAGGGTGAGGGGAGCTCAGTCTATGCCACCTCCAGGCTTCCTGTGGTCCCCACCTGCAGGCTGACATCCAGGTCAAGCATAAATATAATGTCCTTGGGGCAATATTTATTTTCAGCCAGGCTGTAAAACCACCAGGATGCATCTGGCTTGCTCCAGAAAGTCAAGCCTTCCCTTTTCAGATGGGAAGGCACATGGAGAAGCTGACTTGCAGTTTGAGTGGGGGGGATGTCATGAGCCAGAGCTGGCGGCAATGGTGCTGGCGGGTCACCTCCTCTCTGGAAGCAGAAAGTTGGTGGAAGAAACCCCTGTGCTTCACTTCTTGGATGATGCTTGTGTTAGAGGGTTGAAGAGGCCCCATGTCCCCAGGATGGGCTCTGACCTCACTCCAAGGGGGAAGGTGGTTGGGCTGAGCTGCTTCTGCAGCTTTGTCATTGCTCTTCTTGGAGACCTCATCCAGCCACTGCTGAGGTCCAGAGCTGCCTGTCGTCAAAGCTGGCAGCACCACGTCCTCGTCCTGCTCTCCCGCAGGTCAGCTGTTGACCTGGCAGATGCCTTCTTTTGTTCCCGTTTCAGGAGTTCTTGGGCTAGGAAGAAACACAAGGTGAGAAAGGGCTCATTTCTCCTGCTGGTGGGGTGGGATGCAATGGCTGTCCCATCCCACCGACAGCCACCAGTACTGTCCCACAGTAACAGTGTTAGATATCTACCAAACAGTTACACTGGGGACACTATTATGCCTAGCTGAAATACTAAAGCAAAAGAAAACTGTTGCTTTGGATGAGGGCATGAAATCCATCTCTGATGCTGGAGCATCCTGGCATGGATCTGTCTGTCCTTCTGCCCTAAGAGGTGTGATACGTTGCACTGAAACCACGGACTGCTGTGGCTATCACCCTTGAAGCTGCCAGATGCAGGGCAGGCTGAACTGGCAGGGGGGCAGGCAGAACTGGCAAGGAAGCAGACTTTGGTGGCAAGCATGAGCAACGAAGGGGGGCAGCTGTGGGGGAAGGAAGGTGTTTGCAGCCCTGAAGCAGAGGTTTGGGGCCTGTGGTTCACCTGCCTCTGCTCTCACCTAGAGCAGTCACACAACTCACCTATGGCCATAAAGATATCGTTTACTTGGTGGTTGGATTTTGTAGATGTCTCCATGAACAGGAGGTCTTTGGTCCTTGCAAACTCTTCCCCCTCCTAGGTGGAGACAAGCAGAGTTATTTCCCCAGTGCCCTCTGGGGTTGCCTGTTCAGATACGGTGCCATTTCACAGCAGGTCAATAATGGTACAGGGACTTCAGAGGTGTCTGAAAGCCTTTTAAATGCCTGGCTTCACTAGGACGTATCCCAGTGCTTGCTGGCAAAGGGGTGATGAGGGGGCCTGAGAGCTCACTGCAGATGCTCACCTCTGTGGTGACTTCTCGCTCAGCAGCGAGGTCTGGCTTGTTGCCCACCAAAGCGATGACAATTTCATCAGCAAGGAATTCCTTCTCCAGGTCCCTCAGCCACAGCTTCGCCCTGCTGAGTGTTTCCTGGAGAGATGGAGACAAAACCACCCAGTGATCTGATTTTGATTTAATCTCTTTGCCTCAGGCATAGCAAAGCTGGATGCGTGGTACCAAACTAACGGGGCTGGAAGAGATGTGGTAGGGAGGCTTTGATTGCCTTTTCTCTCAGGGAAATGGGTCACTGGCCCTCAAACACCTTTAGAGATAAATCAGCCTTGGATGGGATGTACCCTTGCTGTGTGGCAGCAGAAATTGCCCTTGGGATGGTGACATGGTCCTGCATGGGCAGAGACAGCCCCTAGCATGTCCCAGGTGGGACACTCATCTCAGGCAGTGCTTGTATACTGCTTTCTGTTCTACCAAGGACAAACTCCATCTGGATGTCTCTGCCCCCACCAATGCTGCTGCAGCATGACATAGTTTTGGCACGGACAGGATCTGCATCCCCTGCCTTACCTTGTTAGCGATATCGTAAACGAGGAGAGCGGCGTGGGCGCCCCGGAGGTAGAGGCAGCAGACACTGCGGTATGTCTCCTGGCCTGCCATGACCCAGACGTCAAACTTGATGGTGGCTACTTCCAGGTGGAGCGTCTTTGTGAAGAAGCAGCCTGCAAGCAAGATGCAGGGTGCATGTTTGCTTGCAGCAAGAGCAGAGCACTCAGATCTACTGCCGTGAGGTCAAACCCATCCCAAGGGCTGGTAACAATGCTCTAATGCACAAAATTGGGACAGGCTTCTCATAAGCACCGGCACCATTGATGGGATGGTGTGAGGCAAGGCAGGGCAGCCTGTGGGAGGCTGGGAGCCCTTCTTCCTGGCAGCAGATTTGGGGGATGCACACCAGTTTCGATGTCAGATAGTGCAGAGCTTTGCAGAATAGCCCACAGATAGAGAGCCAGCTCCACCTTGCTGGTGGGTCAGATCTGTGACAGATGTCAAAAGGGGAGCCTCCATCCCTGCTCCCAGGGAGCAGACAGCTGCTTGTGGACCAGCATGAGCCAAGACAGAGGTACAAGTAGGGAGCAGCTCCACAGCGCCTCGCTCTCCTCCAGCAGTTAGCTCTTCAGGGTCCAAGTGGGACCACAACCTCTGTGCCTGCTGTGCCTTCTTAGGGCAAACCCCAGGTATATTGTGTAAAATGAACATATATAATGTCTAGGTGCTGTAGGAAGCTGTGCTGATGAGACTGTACAGGGGAGGCAGCTTGATCCCAGCAGGTGTGTTGGCCAGAGGGAGGTTATAGAGGGAGCAGGGCTCTCGCAACTCTCCAGATGGTTTTCATCAAAGCATGAGCATGCCTGTGGCCTGCCTTTGGATGTGGGTTGTTCAGCATGGCTTGTCAGGACAGGATGCATGGGCACAGGTGCTCTCCCCTTTGCCAGTGGGGCAGAGAGTGGGGTTTGCAGCCTGGCCAGGGTGTGGGGAAGTCTGTGCTCTTGTCTGTGCAGGCAGGCTGGAGGAACAAGGCACTGCTGCAATCCTACCATTGGGCAGTGCTGTGAGGGTCCTGCTGCAGCTGGCCAGTGCCTCTTGGGCTGTCCTGCCCACTTGCACCCCAGCCAGAACCTCCTTGCTCCAGCAGGGCAGCACACGTAGAGGAGAGACTGCCCTGGGGTGTCCGAGTAGCTGTGAGGGCAGCACAGAACCAAGGATGCATAGGACAGATGGGGCCACACAGTCTGGACCCCAGGTTTCACTCATTTCACTGCTCATCTGCCTCCAAAAAACAGCTCTAAACCAAACCTGTGCAATCTGGGTGTGGCTTTCCTTACAGCCTGGTGCTGAGGAAAATGGGCTGCAGAGATCTGAAGGTGACAGTAATGGGGGGAGGTCTGGCTCTGGGACAAGTCCATGTCGTGTTCAAAAGCGGGGCTGTGTTGCTTCAGGATATACCAACCTGTTTTCCTGCATCCCACCCCACTGCAAGGAAGGGCATGAGGCCTGGTCTTTTGTCCAGAACCATCAGGCTACTCAAGCCACCCACTCACATCCCACGGTTGGCAGCGACTCCCTGAAGACATTTTTCACGTATTGGTGGGCCGGGACTGAATTTCCCACTGATGGGCTCCCCAGCAGAACCACCTTGTAGACATAGGTGGGATGAATCCCTTCCAGGGGGGTGCCCAGCATCTCTTTCTGTGCCATGCCCTGCAAAGAAACCAACTCTGTTCAAAACATGTCTGCAGTGATCCCAGGTCCATCGGCTGAGCCTCCTGCATCAACTCCTGACCAGTGGCAGTGGGGCAGGTGGGGTTTGACCTCAAAATAGGCTAGCACAAAAGAATTAATATCCTGAATCAAATTTAATGTATCAAACCATCTGACACTGTCAGTTGTGACCAGAGGGGGGAGATCTTTAGGAAGAAACTTGATGCAAGAGGCCTTCTTGGATGTAGACAAGGATATTGGATTGGGTGCATCTCCTTTAAAGACAGGACATGATGGAGAAAGTTAATGTCAGAGGGACACCACTCATGAGTATGTCTTGCTCTTGAGCACACCTCCTTCCCCAAAGTCCTGGTGAAAAACTTAGGCTTGATGTTCCACACTTATTGTGGGTCTTAGAAGTTATACCAGGAGAGCCTAACTCAGGTTGGAGGTGAACTCACATGTGGAGGTGATGCTGCTACCAGCTTGCTAAAGACACTGCCTGGGAATGGCTGGGCACCCCAAGAGCTGATGGGCTTTGTGGCAGCAACACTTCAAGTCAGCAGGTTGCTTGCCAGGGTGAAAAAGCAGGAGGTGACCTGACTCAAGCACCCTTGATGTCAGCAGCACATAAAGCAGACGGCACGTGTTCCTATGCCATGGATTAAGAAACCCTGGGCAGACCAAGTGAAGTCTCATGCCTTCGTGACCATTGCACCATAGAGCGTGACTCTGTATCGCTTGGGGCGGAGCCATACTACATGGTGACGTGGGATGGTGGGGGAGCATGAGCTGAAATAGTGGTGATCACCTCAAACCTGACTCAGAGAGAGATACTGCGGATGGTCGCCTCAAACCTGACTCGAAGAGAGCTGCTGCAGAGCATTGGCCATACCCTCGGAAGAGGACGGTTGGTGTGAGCCCTCCTGGGTTGCACATGTCCCATTCTCCCAGCCTTGCGCTCAAGGAAGTGACGCTGCCTCGCTGTCAACGGGAGCTGTCAGCGAAGGGCGGTGAATAATGCTGTCTTGCAGCTAGCCAAAGCTTTGCCCTGGCTCCTCCTTGCAGAGCTCCTCCTCTAAAATGACTCAGCTCATGTGGAGAGCTATGCAGGAGAGAGGGTGGTTCATGCAGAGCTTGAAGATGAAGGGTAGTGGGGTGTTAAAGGGCATGAGATGACCTTGCATGTGTTTATCCCGCCTCATGTGCAGCAGCAAAGGGGAAATAGGGCACCAGCAAGCCTGTAACTGCTGTGTGCAGAGATGGGATCTGCCTGCTATATGGATCTAATCTTCTAACACCCAAAAGCAGCAGAGGAGCCTTCTGGAGGATGCTGAAATGGTAGTGTCCTGCTGCTCATCCCTGCCTGCATGTCCTGGCGCTCACTGCTAGTGCGTGCTGGGGTGTACGCTGCTGGCATGGGGTGCTTCCTGCCGCGTGCTTCTGAAGAAAGCCCTGATCGGCCACAGAGCAGAGACCCGCAAGACTTACAATGAAGATTTGGTGCAATTACTCCAATTTCTACCTGGGGCTTGCAGGAGTTTGGCATGCAGAACTTGTAGGCGAGCAAGAAGTGCCTTTACAAAGGCACCTACCTAACAGCGGCACTAGTGGTGTAGCGGCACTAGTAGTGTAGCTCCTGGCCCAGGAAGGTCTCTGCAGCTCCCTCGTCTGACAAAAGCTTCTTATTCCTGCGCGCTGCTCAGCCCATGTGTCTCCTTTATTTTGCCTGTCTTCCCCCTGCAATCTGGCAGGCTCCAGACCTTTAATTCTTCTCCCTTCCCTGAGCTGTTATCAAAGCAGGCTGTCATTAAGAGCATTCCTCGGTGCTGGCTGAACCAGGGTCTGTGTCTTTAGATGCGGGCAGCTTCTCTGCTCAGTGAGTTGGGCTTTCATCCCCTTAAAAACCAGGGGTAAAATTTTCTCGTACAGTTCAGTGATGTAGACCAGCATCGCAGTTTGTGCAGAACAGCTCGTTAGGGGTGGATTATGGGGTGGGGTTTTTTAATGCATGAAAGATAAACCCTGTGGCACAGCATAAGGGTGCTCCTTACGGTATTAGTTACATACATTTGCCTCTTTGTAGGCCTGGAAATAAGACTGCTGTCCTTTCTGGGCAGTTTACATTAGCTACCATAGGTGATATGCCATAAAACTCTCTAGGGAAGCAAGAAGCTTCATGAAAACCATGCAAGATTATCTATATTAAACTCAATTTCTCATAATTTCTCTACTGCTCTCTGTTTAACCCTAGAAGGCTGCACTGACGCTGGAACAAAGCTCACCTGAGAATTACTGCAGTGATAGAAATTTCCTTGCAAACTTTTCATGCTAGCAAGCACCTATTAGAGACAGGGAGTTTTGCCAAAGCTCATTCGAAACAATTTCTTTTCCGTGTTAAGAGGCAGGAGGTGAATCTCCCTTTCCACCCAAGAACAGCAAGGAAAGCAAAACAAGTGACTTTGTTTTGATTCAGTGGAAAATAGGATTTAGGGGAAACTGTTTTCTTTTTCCTTCTTTTGTACACTCCTTTTTCAGCAAGGTAAAACCCTGTGCTTGCTGGCTAAGGGACTACGGGAAAAGCCCTCCATACATCTCTTGTGGCTGGTAGTCACCCTTCTTCAGCTGCTCCCTGCCCTGGGGAAGAGCCTGTCAGTGAGACCCAGCTTAGGGTTAGAGTCAGCAAATCCAGGATGCTGCTCTGGCAGGGTGACCGATGCCCGCTCATGGTGCGGAGAAGGGTGCTGCTGCCTCACAACAAACAGCATCCCTGTTCTTCCACCCTGCACTGCCAACGAAGAAGAGGAAGCTTGCTCTTCATCTGGAAACCTCACTGACTTCCCTGGGATGGGACTGACTGACTGAGCATGTACAGGACAAACAAACCAGAAAGCTTCTGTTGGCAAGACTAGAATAAGTTTGATTTCTCTCACTATAAACTTGAAACTCTGAAGAAGTCACAGATGCAAAATGGTTTTAGCAAATTTTCCCATGCAGGCTTGAAAGGCTGAGGAGTAACCTGAACTGGGACTGCTTAGATGCTGGATTTTGGGTATTTTTACTTTGATCCTGGTAAAGAATAACTCGGCAGTTTAGGGAACAGCCTGGCGAACAGTTGAGTGTTACAAGTCCTGTCCTCATGTCTAGAGGCCATGCCAAGGGGCAGGGAAAGCTGAACCTGCTCAGAATCAATATGAAGAGCCGGAGATTAGTCTGGACAACCATTTCTCTTCAATCAACTGTAAAAATCCTGTTGGCAGATTTAGTCTCCAGATACAACTTAGTATTTTGTGACGGCTGTGTCTGTCGGCAGATTTTGGGGCAGGCTTGCCTGATCTTACCGAGAAGGTGAGTACCAAATGCAGAGGCCAGCATTAACCAGCTTCCCCTATGGAGCCCACTGGTTTAATGTAAATCAACTTAAAGGTAATCTGTTTGCCACTTACAGCAGCAGCACCAGATCAGTGATACTGCACTTGAACCACCTGTCCTCGCTGTTTCCAAGAAGGAACCTGACAAATCTGTTTATGAGGGTGACTCAGTTGTTTATAATTAGCAGGAAAGTAGACTTTATCTAAGGAGTACCCTTTCAAACTCATGTTTTATGGGCACAAGCACTAGCAATAAATACAGAAGCATGAGGTGGCAGAGTAGATATTTGTGTTGGAATGCAATGGCAAGGGCTTGGCTTTTGCTGCTCAATAAATTGGTATTTCTGTAGTATTTTTAACCTGGGGAGGGGGAATCCTGGTATATTTATGGTCAGGGCATAAGCCTTTTATTTTCAAAGGAAAACAGTAAAAAAAGAAAATAAATGCATACGGTTGGGGATGGAGCTACTGAGAAGTGTTATTTAAGACTCCAACTTCCTGGGAAAGTAATAATGTTTAAATCTAATGATGTCTATCTGGTGTCTAAGCTTTTCTAAACCATAAGCTCTAAGAAGATCCTAAAACCATTAGAGACATTTGCTGAGTTTCTGTAGGGGTGCAGCAGTGAACAAGAACCACAGTTAATCAGCTCCTTGGAAAAAATAGGACCCCAATGCTACCCTTGTAAGTCAGCAGTATCTAGCCCTGCAATTTTTGGAAACAATGCCTTAGGTTCATTCAGATTCAGATTATTTCCCCCCCCCCCCCCGATAGTGGGAACGCCTACCTTGACCATTAACTTGTCTAGTATTCATCTCGAAGCACTCCTCTGCTTTTAGGAGCCTCCACTTACCTGCTAAAGCTCTCTCAGTGCTGGTGGTAGGAGCGTGGCCGCTTGGAAAGTTCGCTTAAGCCAAGGTTACCAGGGATACAAAAGTCCCAACTGCAGAGACTTAATGCATAAAGATTTAGATTTACATAGCGCTGATTTCTCAACGCAATCAGCACTCCTCAAAGCTAAGGGGAAGAGAATAAGGGTCATTCACCACGCAGCTGGAGCAGCTTGGGGAAATAAGGCAGCAATAAACAGAGGCTGCCCTGGGCTGTAGGTGAGACCAAGCGCTCTGCTAAGACCTTTTCAGGGGTTCTTCGGCTGCCCGAGAGGACGAGGGTAGGGCAGAGGGCTTCCTAAGTCTTCTAAAATCTTTTCCCTTGGGCAGGCAGCTGCTGAGGATGGTGCCACCCTCCTTGGTGGATGCCCCTTTGTAGCTGGGATGCAGGGCTGCTTCCCGGTGGGAGGATGAGAGTCCCAGGAGCTTGTCTGGGAAAGGCACCTCAGGGATGGTGGGTTGGGCCGGGGCTTGCCCTGCAGATAAATCCCGCAGAAGAAGATGCCTTTACCTTCCTGAAGCCTTGCTCTCCTCCCGGCGCTCCGGCTCGTGAGGTCAAGGGCGACAGCCCCGTCTGGCTGCCTGAGCCTCTCTGCTCCAGGGGCAGATAAAAGTGAAACCACCCAGCGGCTCCCAGGGAGCAGTGTCAAAGGTGAAAGGCAACTGGAGATCAGTGAACCTTAGACCTGCCAGCAAGCCGGGCAAGGCGGGACCACGGCGCTGCCGTCACGGTGAGTGGGGCTAGTGGCCATGGCCCTCGCACCCCTCCATCCCTCCTTCCTCCCCTGTTTCCCATGCTGGGGGTTGGTGGTGGGTGGATGAGCAGATGTGTTTTTCCCCCTGCCTCAGGGTCTGAGGCCAGCCTGGCTACAAGGGGCGTGGGGAGTAAAAGCAGCCCACAGCCCACCATGGAAGGGTTGAGAACCGGAGAGGGCTGGATGTGGGGCCAGCAGGAGTTACGGTGTGCCAGGGATCTGGCCTTCTCTGGGTTTTTATAATACCACAATTTCTGCTGATATGCGTTAGACCTGGCTTTGGTCTTGCGCCAGGGTACAGGCTCAGATAACTTGGGCCCGGGATTGCTGAAGCAATTCGTTTTCAGGAACGTGGCTGGTTGACCAGCTGGTGGGAGAGAGCACACCCCCTTCTCTTGCACAGCACTTCAGCAGATGAGCTGGGGAGGCACAAAGTGAGCAAAAATGGAGAACTTGGGCTTTTACTGCCTTTTAATTAAGGTAATAGTGAGTTACCACAGGCAGCTGGGGTTTGGTGCTTCGGAGAAGACTGCCCTTGTTAAAGCTCCAATATCAAGAGAGAAATCACAGCATGTTAATGCATTGGGATAACAGGTCTGATGTGAGAACAGCAAGATCTGGTAATTAAAAATCCAAATGAAGATAGTTTTTGTATTTCTGTCAACTCATCTTGTCATAGTCAGTGTCTTTCCTTCATGTAACAGCTACTAAATTTTTCTGGAAGTGAAATAGACTTTATAAAACCAAGTCCTAATAGTTATGGGGAGCAGGGTAAAGAGCAGGAGTCCTACAAGCAAGCTTAAAAAAAAAAGTCATCCCAGTTTTGAAATGAAGAGCATGTCTCGTGATCCCCAAGGCCTGACTGCTGTGGCTCGATTACTTCCCATTTCTATGATGAAATGCCATGTACACACGCCTGAGAG